ATGCACATGTAAAATGTTTTGCACTTGGCTCATTCCAGTGCCTAACAAAACACGAATTTGCAGGCAAGTAATTTCCGCTTCCGCGTTTCGGTGAGGTTGTGCGGAGTCCACCGCGAAACTATCCTTCTCACGCGAAGGAGCTGATGTAGAATCTTGGGAACGCTTTCCGATCCTATCTGCAATATATGCTGAATCTCTTCGTATTTAATTCGTCTGTATTCTTGAAAAAAAACCAAAACCTCCTTCCTAAGGAGAGGCCTATGTCCAGCAGTGGACTAGTAAAGGCTGTTGATGATGATGATGATGATGATGTATTCTGAAATAAACTTTTCACTGCTAGCATGTTTTCCTCCGTGTATTGCAAACGACCTCACTGAACCACCACTGGGATGTCGTTTACAATTTTTTTTGTTAACTCTCTAACTGTGTCTGGTATAAGGCCACATTCTCGACGCAGGTAAATTTTTTTAAAGGGACACGATATTCAATTTGGCTCTGAAAAAAATGTGGAAGAAAATTTAAAATCCAACTTTAGTATTTTTATCTGTAAATAATCACATTTTTTAAATAATTATAATAATTTAGGGCCTCGTATCGTGAGACCTGGTATAAAGTAAGTAAACCTTCATACACGTGTTTTGAAATAATTAGCACAAAGTTTTCTTCTGAAAGGTGATTGCGCATTAATAATTTCAACAAAGAATTCTTTGTATACAACTTGTTTATTTCTTCACTATTTCTTTTAACTTACAAACTTTGAACTTTCCAGAACTTTTAGAAGAATTAAGAAATGAAATGCGGGTAACTTTATACATTGACATTAAGTAATACATTTTATATTTTGAGTATATAAACTATACAATGATGATTCTTTCCACTTGAACCTCCGGCGTGGACTCTCTAAGGGGTCCATGGACACTCACTATTACACCCCTAACACGAGGGTGCGAGAATAATTATTAAATTTATATTCAACTTCAACCCTCAGAGATGATTAAGAAGTGAAATGTCAGAGTTGCTTGTTTTATAATGGGAGAGAAATAGTCAAATACTTTTATACTTTATGTAAGGATTAAAGAACAAATTTAAGTAACATAACAAAATTTATTTTCCCGTTATTACTGTTAATACCTGGGCGAAAAATTCACGTGATTTATATAACAAACTAGCTGGTACCCGCGACTTTGTTCGCGTGGAATATGAAAAGCGCTGCCTTGGTGGGTTCGATGCCACTATTTAAAGGGTTTTTCTGAGAGGAAAAATAGCCTAAATTATTCCTTATCGAAATCGGTCCAGCCGTTTAGAAGATTACACGAACAAACAGACAGACAAAAAAAATTAAACTGGTTTTTAGGCATAGGTATCGTGCAACTAACCGTGTGAGCATGAAAAAAAAACTATAATTTTGATATTACAAACAGACATTTCAATTTTATTTATTTGTATAGTTCAAAGGATTGCGATATTTTGCAATGATATACTATACATAGCACTGCGACCGATAGCATAGCAATGAGAATCACAATCAGTGTGAAGGTAATCAAACAGAGTGTGAAATTGTAATGATACTCGTATTATCAACGTTCATTAAACAAATAGGCAAAGAGATGAAAATACCGGCCTTTACTGCTGCTAGTGTAATCGCTATAATAATTAAGCCTTACCATGGACATTCAGCTTTCGATGAAACATTTCTAAGGCGAATAGTTTTGAATTTCTTTGCAGCAGCTGTTACATTTTATGGTATAAGGGGGCAAACTAGCCGACGGGTCACCTGATGGTAAGCAACTACCGCCGCCCATGGTGACCTGCAACTCAAAAGTCACAAGTGCTTTGCCACCCTTGAAGTCCCTCCCGCTCGACTCAAGATTTGGGCTCCGGTAACCTCACTCACTCAGTGAAAGTCAACAAAAGAATTGCTTAACACCGGTTTTCTGTGAGGCCGTGGTATCACTCCGGTCGAGCCGGCCCATGATGGCAGCATGGCTCTCCCACGATAAACATGGCTCTCCCACGATAAGCATGGCTCTCCCAAGATATATTATATTTATATTTAGGTGATAACTACTTTCCAAAGAGTTTATGGGTCTTGATAACAATGTTGATAACTTAACCCAAGGTTACCCAAAACAATCATTCTATCCGGATAGTGTTATGGATTATCCGAAATTACCGGATAGTAGTAGATACATAGATAGATAATTACATGTCCTATATGACCATGTTCGAGCTATTGCTTTTGTTCTTCATTCCATCCGTACCGCATCATCATCATCAACAGCCTATAATAGTCCACTGCTGGACATAGGCCTCTCCTTAGAAAGGAGGTTTTGGCCTACTATACCACGCTGGCCAGACGGGTTGGTATAGGGTTTGATTCAAGTTTTCCTTCTCTTTTTATCTAATTTTCTTTTCAAGATACTCCAAATTTTTCCTATGTAATCCGTCAAGTGTCAGTTGCAGGTAATATGCTTGCTCGTAATAGATAAGCGGTACTAAAATTATGGTTGGCATAATTTCGGCTTTTAATTCTTCTACCCCTTCCCCCTAATACATAAATGGGAGTGTATGTATATAATATTAATTACTACTAAATTATGTTAGAAGTCATAATATATACGATAATGCGTGCCGTTGGCAGTAAGTATATCATAGCAGGAAAAATAAAAAAAGCGATAATAGTAATCAGACCATTTATATTACACATTAAAATACTTTAGTTCTATCTCAAACTAATCTGTGTTTATAGTCACAGCTTTATGTTCTATAGCCCTTTCTAAAAATACTCTATCCGTGCCTCCTTATGGCGACTAAGCTCTGCCGGTGTTCTCGGAGATTTCCTTCCCATGTGTATACCCGAGTCCCTTGCAATACACTCAAAGGTGACGGAACACAGTATGGTTTTAGACGGTTCGATTCCAATATATGACTTCACCGTGAGCCCCGGTGAGGTTTCTACACAAAAAAAGTGTGAATGTCCAATAATTCCCCGTTTTCTGGCGATCATCTTTTCTACAGTGTCGTGTGTTCTGTTTCCTCGTTTATTACCTACGGTACCTTCTAACATGAAGTCTCTGACGTTAATAGTACGTCATATACAATAAAGCAATTTATTCACAAACTATATTTATATCTTCAGGTAATTAAGTTTCTTTAATTTTAAGTTAATGATAAGCACTTCGTCCCAATATTTTTAAACCGTAAATATTCTAAAAATATTAATACATATGTATTGTTTATAATATGTATGTATTAAAAATATATAAGTGTATTTATCAGCAGTCTACACGCTCTGCTTAGTTTGGGAGCAGACAGCCTTGTGTGAGGTGTGTTATTTATATTTATGTAATCATATCAGTACTTTTCTAACTTTTTTTTAACGTGGTACCTTTCGTGGTCTTTTTATAAGTGTGTGGCAACCTTCGACTACCGGACCTAAGCAAACTAATCGCGGCTAAATAATAATAATATAATAGACTGAATCTAACGACTAACAGTTTTTTAGAGAACGGGTCAGAAAATCCCTTCGGAGGTCTCTGGCTCCTAAGGGCCTCCTAGCACCCCCTATGTGGTGTTTCCACTATACATCACCCCAACGGCCGGCCTCGGGCGCCCTACTCAGGTTAGGATCCGGACCATGTAATTTCAGTCCCCCCTCCAAATCTATGCCGCTCGTAAATAGACCCTGACCCGGAGGCAGCGGTAGGCTTCCCCCCGCACGGCGACCAACCTACCATCATAACTACAATAAATCATTCCTAACTTGTGAATTTGGTGATTTAGATTATGTTGAGATAAGAGACGTTGGTCACGCTTTTTATTTTGTATAGTATTCACAAGGTGAAGAGTTCTATGGCATTAAAGCCTCTTTTTCGGCGTCCAGATCGACTTATTTCTATATATGCGAGAAATGTATAAAAAGAAGTATCATCTAAATCATGATATATGAAAAATGGGGTCAGCCATTTCCACGCATTGTGAACGTATATACTGCAAACCAAACGATAACAGCGCTGCGCGCGTCGAGTGCGAATTCACGTGGAAGTGCTTGATCTCTTTCTCAAACCGGGCGGCTATCCTGTTTTCAAAAGTTAACGGGCGTTCTTTTTTTGCCAGCCAGCCATTTTGAGTCTGGCACCCAATATTCAAAATAGGTGTCTATTATTCTTATATTTTTTTAAATTCTCAGTACGTTCACCTCATTTCTAACATCGGTCAGTGTATGATAAAACAGTTTCTATTCTAGTGTGACCCATTTCAGTATAGGACGCCTGTTTCATCGATTTGCATGTCCAGCATTACAAATGTCACCCAGTTACATTTTCGATTAAGTCTGCCTAGAGGCAACTCATTCGAATTACGTTCAATTTGCTAAAATTGACTTGAACAAGGTTTTATTTTTGATATATGATTGCTATTTGCGAATAATCTATTCTAATTGCTATCGTAAAGCATGTTCCAGGAATAAATAAGCTTGGTTGAGAACACAAGAACTAATACAGTTCCATTTAACACGTTTTGACTTTACATATTTAGTGTTATTAGAAACAATTAGGTAAAAGGCATGTCTTCCTAGTTATTCCTTCATTTCCTAATGAGCGGGAGATTCCTATGCTTAAAATAAGTTATTTAACGGTGTTGAAAACTATATTACTTGTTTTTCAAAATTAATTGTCAAACTAAATGTCAGATGATTTAGTATTAACTAGGTATGACTTCATTATTTTATAAAAAAATCGAAGGAATCATCATCATTGCCTTTACTAGTCCACTGCTGGACATAGGCCTCTCCTTAGAAAGGAGATTTTGCCCTACTATACCACGCTGGCCAGACGGGTTGATTCATGTTTTCCTTCTCTTTGCAGTGCTGTTAATCTAAGGAATATACCACTTTAAAGTTTAGTAAAGGCTGTGGATGATGATGATGATGATGAATGAGAAGTTGCATTTGACCGTAATTGGCACTCCGATGGACTTAACCGAATTTCGTTTGTCCCCAGCCCCGCTACCTCCTGAGCTGCTAGATTTACCAGATGATCTTCTAGAACGTTCAGCAAGCGATGGCACAATAGAGGAGAATTTTGAAGAAGAACTTGCCAGAGCACCAGAAGTATATGCAGAGGTAAGCGGATTTTGTCAATATTGACGTGTTCATAAATGCAGGTGAAGCTACAGAGATTGGTAATATATGAGAGTTGTGAACAAATGTTGCAGGACCTGGTCTATGGTAATTCAGCATTGACCATGTTTAACATTTGTTAAAATCTTGTTGATACCGTTTATTTTTGTGATAAGGAATGGATAAAGAGTTAGAGAAGTCTGGAAGTAGTCTCAACTTGAGACGAGTTTTCTTCTACGGAAAAAGATGAAAGGGCATGTGGATATGAAAGATTTGGACAAAGGAAAACAACATTAAAACAGTAGAGGATTATGCGTAAGATGAGATTTTAATATGTCGAAATGGTTATGCTCATGTGCAGATTCTGATGAAACTTAAGCTTTACCGTACCCCGCAATATGAATACTACCCAAGAAAGCATTTTATACAAAGACGCAAATTTAGGTTTAATCGCAGTAATAGATCCTATACCTAACTAATACACCTAACTTGATCAAGATCTTTGAAAATCTAAAATGCGGTCAATTCCGGTAATTTACGAATGTTACCAGTTGTATGAAGTTCCGTTTAACAATCTGATAACATCTTTATTTAGTTCATTAGGGTAACCTTAAAGTATCTTTATTTTTATTTTTTTTTACATTACATTTTAACATTATTTATAAATATAGTTTTTACGTATAAAATTTCGCCCTCCATTGAAATGAAATGAAATGAAATGAAATGAAATGAAATGAAATGAAATGAAATGATAATTTAATTGCAGAAATATGGTACATGGGCTGTTATAGTTATTAGAAGAGAATCACATATTTCGTCAGTCTGTTCTGACATGCAAAATTTGAAACATACATGCATATTACAACAAAAGATTGATTTAATAACAAACTACTAAGCTCATGTCAATAAACAATTTACATAATGTCAAATATATAATTGCAATGTCAAATTTTTAATCCGATAATTTAATTCTAATATAGAACACAATATACAATAAAATATTATCAAGTGCTTTTGTATTTATCGCTCGTTTAGGTATTCGGTCCACTGAGTATATCATTTTTTTCCAAAAGCCATGTTTTCAATTTCCTTTTAAATTTCAGTAGGGGCAACGCCTTTATGGTTGGTGGCAAGCTATTAAATATTTTGATACACATATTATAACAATTTTTTTGGAATAGTGTAGTTCTGGGAACAAAATCCAGGACTAGTCTTTCACTGCCCCGAGTGTTGCGTGGGAACATATCTTTTGCCTTTTTAAATAAACCAGGGTTACTTTTAACAAAAACACTTACTTCAAAGATGTACAAACAGGGCAACGGTAATATTTCATATTTTCTAAAATAAAGTTTGCAAGATTCATAAGGAGGAATGCCCACCCATAGCCCGAACACATCTCTTCTGGGATAAAAACGCTCGAGTAGCATCTACTGAGTTTCCCCACAACAATAGACCGTATCTCAATACAGAACCTACGTGACCATGATAGGCGAGAAGTACTGTCTGCTGAGTAGCGGTTTTTCTTAGTCGGTTAAGCACGTAAACAAAACTATTAACTCTTTTGCAGACTGAATCGACGTGTGTCTTCCAGTTGCAATATTTATCTAATGATAATCCTAGAAACCTTACGCATTCCGTTTCCTCTATAACAGTATCGCCATATCTTATTTCTCTAAGATTTAGTTTTGAGCTTTGTGTTTGGAATTGTATGAAATTGGTTTTGGAAAGATTAGCATTTAAGTTATTATTTTTTAGCCATTCTATTACGGATTTTATTGTATTATTAATATCAATGTCATAATTTGTACCAATTTTAGATGTCAATATAATTGAAATGTCGTCAGCAAATAATATACATTTATGAGTAGTTATGTCTGGTAAGTCATTAATATAGGACTAAGAATAGTAATGGTCCCAATATACTTCCTTGAGGAACCCCATATTTGTTAGTTAAAAGTGCGGACCTCTCCCTAGTGATCACTGAATTATCATTTTTAATTATATCCACACATTGTTCGCGATTCTTCAGGTAACATTTAATCCATTCATGTGCTGGGCCTCGAATTCCGTAATTCTCAAGTTTTTCAAGTAGCAGCTGATGCGAAACATGGTCAAAGGCTTTTGTCATGTCAAAGAATATTACTATTGTAGGTTTTTTAGTGTCTACATTTTTCAGGACATTGTAGATTAATTGAAAAGCTGCTAGTGTAGTTGATTTGCCTCTCTGGAACCCATTTTGTTCTTCTTTTATAAATTTAAACCTATTTAGGTACGTAGTCAGCCTTTTATGCATCGCTTTCTCAAATACTTTTGACAAGATCGGTATTAATGTAATGGGTCTATAATTGCTGAGTTCAAGTTTGTCGCCTTTTTTTGTATAATGGTTTCACTATGGATTTTTTTAAACTTTCAGGAAATACACCTGTTTCAAAGAGAGGTTAATTAAATGTGTAATGACAGGTACTATTTCATAAACACATTGTTTTGAGTATATAAGTTGTCACCCTCGTCAATTCCTACGGAATTGGTATTGTTTAAGGACATTATTATATTCTTTACCTCTGTAAAATCCACAGGTTCTAAGAATATACTACTCAGGGCTCTAGTTTTATTTGTGTTGTGAGTCTTTTTTACGTTTCTAGTGGTTGATGCTATAAGATGTTCATTGAATCGATTTGCTATATCTATTGGCTGTTGCATTAGTTTACCATCCACTCTAATTTCTGATATTATATCGTGTGTAAAATGTTGCCGACATCGTCGTTGATAATTTTCCACGCAGTTCTACATATATTTGTGGAGTTCTGTAAAATGTTTTCATTGTAAATCTTTTGTGATTTATTGATACATTTTCGTAAGATTTTTGAGTATTGATGATATTTACTTTTACACTCTTTTGTTTTCTGAGTGTAGAATCTCATACGCAAGGATCTCTTTGTTTTTAAGCTACTTCTTAAGCCTCTTGTTATCCATTTTAAATCTCGTTTCTTTGTGATAAGCCGTTTTTGAAATGCAGGAAAACATAAATTATAAAAAAGGCAAAAGTCGTCATAGAAGAAATCGAACGCTACATTTAGGTCAGTATTGGAAAACGCATCCTTAAAACTTAAACTTTGAAGACATTCACAAAATTTTCTAACATTTTCTTTTGAGTAATCACGCCTGGTTACCGTTATCTTGGTAGGTTGCGAAATATCTTTTGCCATAGGGATGCTTAAAAGTTGAGCGTCGTGATCAGAGAGACCCAGTTTGAGAACTTCACCTTTAGCTTGTTTCATATTACATATTACATGGTCAATACAAGTATTAATTCTAGTCGGTTCCTTTATCAGAGAAGTCAAATTATAATTTCGTAAAATGTCATTTAAATTTTGTACAATTCTATTATTAATAAGTATATTTATATTTAGGTCTCCTACAAGTATCAGTTTTGCGTTTTATATTGCGATAGCATAAGAGTTTGAACATCAATGTATCAAGGTGCTTCAAAAAGAGGTCTACATTTGACTGAGGTGTTCGATATATACATATTATAATTAGTTGTAATTTATTGATTTCTATACCACAACACTCAAACACTCTCTCTCGTGAAAACGATCTTATGCCTAACAATTCATTATATTTAATACCTTTTTGAATATATATGCAAACTCCCCCTCTTGATTTTGATCTACAATATATTGCTCCTAATTCGTATCCAGTTAATCTGGAGTTCCGTATGTCTGCATCTTTTAAAAATGTTTCAGAGAAACATAATACCTCAGGTAGTTTATTATTGTTATGAAGATCCGTAAGAGTCATTTCAATCAGGTCTTTTTTATATACTAAGCCAGCAATATTCTGGTGGAAGACACCAAACGCCCCTTTTGTATCACATAGTTTAGTCGGTACAAAAAAAATTATAGTTCGACGTTTGTGGAGAGCTCGTGTTATGTGTAGAGGAAGTTTTACATACATTCGGACCACTAGAAGGACTCTCCCCCCCCCTGAAGCCTTGGAAGACGGCGAAGGGCGGTTTAATGTGTTGGCTACAGCCTGTCAGTCAACTCTTTATCTTTTTTAACAATTGGAAAATAGTCCGGTATAGTTTTTTGTTTAAGAAGAGTTGTTGTACTTAATTTACTAGAGAAAAGTATTACTGATTTAGAGTTATTTTGTACATCTCTGAGGCGTAGTTTAATGTGTTTTATATATTTTAAATTATAATCATATTGATCAATTGTTACATTAATCAAATTGCACCATTTACATAGAGTATCGATAGTGTAGTTTTCATTATAATAATTATTGTTATTGTGTAATGTAACAAAATTGCAACTAGTAAACTGTGAGCATATTAGCTTTAACATTTCATTCAGTTTAGATTCATTTAAATACTTATTTTGCGTTATCCCTAAGACAATAACATGGTGGTTTTGAAGTAGTTTCAATGCAGCTGAGAGTTCCGACGTTATGTGCATAGGGTTGTCATCATGCTCGCCGATAGACAATATGAATTTATCTCCGTCTTGAAATTTAGTGGAGTAAAGAGGTCTTAATATTTCCATAGAAGTTGCTTCTGGTTTTATGATACTTGAAAATGAGTATTTTTCATAGCGTGTATTCAGGCGTGACTTGGTAAGCATGATCGATAAATGGCGACATTGACGGCCTCCGAAGATGTAAGTATTTCTCACGCTTTCAAAATTAGTTTTGTTAGTATTTGCCTCTTGACACAGCTCACCTGTAGTTTGTAGGGTTTCTGGTTCCAAATATTATTTTGATCCACAACAGTACCACTCTCAGTTCGTGAGACATCGTCTTTAGAGTCTATAAATCTAGTATTGTCCATCAGAACACGTCGGGATATTCTTCGCTTAGAATTCACTTGTTGTTTGTAAGTCTGTGTGGGCGTTTTACAAATCTCCTTAAGAGAGGAAATTTGTTGTTTTTTGTGCTGTAATCATATTTTTCAGTTGGTTGACTTCCAGATGTAAGTTGTCAATTTCATGATTAGCAGTATCCAATTGTTGTTTTAATTGCTTATTCTGCGCTCTTACAGTTTCTATAATCTCAATATCGTGCCCGCTGGATAGATCTAAACAAGAAAATATATCTTCTGCGTCTGTAGAATCTAGTGAGAAAGGTATGATAGATTCCATTGATTTCGCTCTAGATAACCCCTTTTGTCTCACTGTAACGTTTGCACGTTCGTCATGAAATGATTGGTCGTGGGACATTATAGAATTATTAAAATACAAATGAATTAAAATATAGTAAGAAATTAAATACAATTAGTTATTCTTGATATTTTGCTAGCGCTCTCCAGTGGCGAGTAACATATCAATAGTAGTGTAGTCAATATCTTTAGTTGTCATTCATATATGTTCCTAAATGGTGCTTTTATCTTTTTTTGTGTTGAGTTGTGATGGCCACACTTACGACGCTGACAGACAAATACAAACGGAACGTTGTTGTACTTGTTTTTTTTCCTCAGTGTAAACGTTATCATTAAATACCATATTTATACAATTTAATCATAGGAACAATTAGAAGAATTATGTAGATTTTCAAAAAGTGATCGCTGACACTTAGCGGGTCTCGAACTCGGTATCGTCGTATCCGAGCTAAGGTACATATATTTCACACCAGACCACAAGAACAATTACTTAGCGAGTCAAAATACTTGAATGTATTTTACGTGTGGTAATTGCATCAAACAGTGAGTGAATACGTCAATGACAATTCGTTCACCCACATTTGTAATTTCGAAAAAGTAACGAACACTATTTTTACTGTTTCGAGTTCACTATAGAATTTTGTTGTTTCATGGCACAATCTATTATCACTTATTTTAGAATTGTATAAGTTTCTTATAATTTCTTGCACTGATAAAAGGAAATAATATTTTGTAGCAACGTTAATGAGCTAGAAATTGTTGTTACACTTTTATGCACTATTGAACTATTGTAATGTTTCACAAACGATAGATGATGGAAAGTACAGTAATTGCAGTTAATTAATCACTTTTAGCAATTCATTTAATCACTTAATGAATATTTAATAATATAGAAATACGGAGCTGATGTTAACATGGCGACTAGCGCCATCTGCCATCCATTTTAAACCGTTCATTAGTAGAAGTATGAAAATAATTATAGTTGCATTTAATCCATTAATTAATTTGAAACTGTTGCTAAAGGATGCTTCTCTCACCTAACGAATTATTCGATTGAATAGTAATTTCCAACTAATCTATACTAATATTATAAAGCTGAAGAGTTTGTTTGTTTGTTTGTTTGAACGCGCTAATCTCAAGAACTACTGGTCCGATTTGAAAAATTCTTTCAGTGTTAGATAGCCCATTTATCGAGGAATGCTATAGGCTATATATCATCACGCTAAGACCAATAGGAGCGGAGCACCAATGAAGAATGTTTCAAAAACGGAGAAAATTTATTACTATTGAGAGACGCAGACGAAGTTGCGCGGGTCAGCTAGTCTAAAATATATAGATTCGTTGGAAATTCCTCTAATACGTGAAGAAATGTTTGTACCCTTTTTTAACGAAAATATTGCACGTTAATTTAATATTAGAAGAAGTGCGGCAAACTAGAATTTTTTAACAATATATGCTATCAAGTTAAAAATTATGTAAATCCGTCTACATAAAACTACATAAAACTATGTGCATAAAGCTATGGCTTATATTTTCTTCTGCTGTGATACAAAAGTCTGTAAATTTATACCGAGTAATTAAATAAGACATTTAAGACGGTTGAAATTCGAGCGCCAGGCGATGTCTAGGTACTTTTATTATCTTAGTTGATAATCCTGTCCAAGTGGCTTCTCCAATCTTAGTTCAGAAATATGTACTAGTCTTTTTCCGTTTTCCCATCCGAGACGTACGGTTTCCTTACTCTTGCTATCTTTCATTAACTCTTTTACTACCCAAGTTCTGTATCAATCTAAAAACGATTCCATCCCCAAAAGGGATTGGCGTCAAAAGAAACTATCCGAATTTAAAAAGCATCCCAAATATAATTGGGAAGGGAGTAGGAAACGAATAACGAGAAAGTGTTGCAACTAAAATTAAACCTGGGAGATTACACTAAATGCTAATGGTTGCATTTACTTAAAATTGAATTCCTTGAATTACGTTTGTAAGCAGGTACCTCAACATCTGTAATATAAGTTTTCTCTTGACTTAAAAGAGCCAACTCATATTATAATTATTATTTTGACGACCGAATGGCGTAGTGGTTTGTGTAACGGACTGCTATTCCAAAGGTCGCGGGTTCGATTTCCGCTCAAGTCAAACATTTATGTGCATGAATATTTAATGTTTGATTTGGTCTGGGTGTTTCTATGTATAATAAGTATGTATTCACAAAAAAAAAAGTATATATGTGTTTATATCAGTTGTCTAGTCCCCATAATACAAGCTCTGCTTAGTTTGGGACTAGATGGCGTTGTGTTGATGTGGTACAATATTATTATTATTATTTTATTATAATACGATTGTTTTATTGTCCAGATAGCGTCTTCCCTGGACGAATCGTTCGCTGAATTAAATGGCACGGGTCTGATCGAAGTGGTTGGAGACGATGAAGTGGGACGTCGAATCATTGTCGTGTCGGCCTGCAGGCTGCCACCTAGCAAGGACCTTCATCCTGATAAATTACTCACGTAATTATTTATTAATATCTGTTTGTGTCTGTCTACTGTAACCAGTCAAGCTCGTCTTGTTTTTTCTTCAGGGATGTAATGGGTATAAAACTCCGGTTAATTTAGGGATACGGATATTAATTTCGAAAAATAATACGAAAATATACCTACTCAATTTAAAACGTTATCATTTGATTTTTGTATTACACGTTTTTTTCTTGTTATCTGTTTGAAATTTGTAATTTTACTTAGCAGTACTTTATGTGAGCCTACGGTGAGCAGAAGAGATGATTTTTGTTTTGATTTATATTTTATCTTTGTTTTCATTTGTGTATTATTTTTATGTGGATGTACAGATGTTTTTAATTAATTTAATAGGTAAACCTGGGATAATTCATGTAAATAAATAAAAAAAAATATCTCAGCAGAAATAAATACCTACAGCTTCTGTGTAGTAAAGAACCAGACTAAATCCGGTGGTCTGCTTTATTACAGAGAGATTCCAATAAATTTTCCCCGAACCTTCTACCTAAACTAGGATGGGTCGGCTGTTAAGCGACTCCCATCAGACCTACACATCCAAAGTACTAGGCCGATATCGAATATATATAATTAATAGTCCACTGCTGGACATAGGCCTCTCTTTAGAAAGACTGTTGTGGGACTTTTTAGGGCTACAACTATCCTTAACGACTGCCACAGATGTTCGCATGGAAACCGGGACCGAGGACTCAACGTGCTCTCCGAGTCACGGCACGAGAGATTCCAATAATCATCAATCATTTCAAATTTACAGGGAAATATATGCTACTGTACCTAAAGTCACCTCGTCTTATTTGAAATTTCAGATACCTAATGTTCACGCTAGATAAATACGTGGAACAGGATTATAGCGTTGTATACTTCCACTGCGGGCTCACAAGCAAGAACAAACCTCCACTGTCATGGCTATGGCGGGCGTACAAGGCATTCGACAGGAAGTACAAGAAGAACTTGAAGGCCCTATACTTGGTACATCCTACGAATTTTATCAGGATCGTTTGGCAGATGCTCAAGCCGGCCATCAGTGTCAAGTTCGGGAGGAAGATGATGTACGTTAACTACTTGCACGAGCTGCAGCAGTACCTGAACTTGGAAAAGCTTTGCATCCCCGACGCGGTACTTGAGTGAGTATATTTTATTTTTATTAGGATCATTTGTGTATTACACTGAGTTCCTCATCATCATCAGCCTTTAATAGTCCACTGCTGGACATAGGCCTCTCCTTAGAAAGGAGGTTTTGGCGTACTATACAACGCTGTATACGTAACGGGTTGGTATAGGGTTTGTTTCAAGTTTTGTGGCGGCGTGCTGTTGGCGGTGTCATTGTTTCAAATTTTTTTCTTCCTCGTTCCTCACTTGAAAGAAATACCAACCTTCTTAAAAAGAATATCAACCTATACTATTCTAGTTGCAAATACCAAAAAATTGCGTAAATTGCGATAGCCCTTAGATTTACTTAAACCGCCCTATAGGTATTCTATTATAAGCTTCCGTGCTGTCTGTATATCTTCTCCCTGTAAAATTTCTGGCCTCTATTATACAAAACCAAAAGGAATTTACAAGACTTTTTTTTAATCCAGGTCTGTCACAAAATGCATTCTAAACGTGACCTACATATGGACTACTAACCTGTTTAATTTCTATTCTCAGTTCTTTGAAACGAATTATTTCCACACCACTTGCGAGAGCTCTTAAACCTCCTTCATACAGGCCCTGTCGCAAAATTCATTCTTAGTTTACATGTCACACCCATAAACTCACACAACACATACACAGATCTCTAGTCGAAAAGAAAGGACTGCCATTTACGGTTATAGACATGTATTTTTCTCAAAAGATTATAATTAATCACTTGCAGATAAAAATACAATACCAAATAAAAATATTTTGTAGTTAGTAAGGTAGTTGTGAAAAGTTTTTTATGAGTCGGGAAGATTAAATACTTTCTATGTGAGTTCAAGAATGTTGGTGGACAAAACAATGCATGTTTGTTAAGGCCTATGACTTAGTGACACGTACCTGTAGATTGATGATAAACATTTAATCTTGTTATTTAGACTCTGTTAACAAATTTGATCTCACGGTTCACCTGATGACTACCGCCACCACGCCACCCATGCAATCGTGCAACTCTCTTTCAAAAATCATTTATTATTTTCATAAAACAGGTATAAAGGTGGTAGAAGATACAAATGCAAATATTTAGACATAGATATTTAAAAGATTATTATTTAGACGTTCAACATTACAAATACAATTTGAAGAATATATTCATATCATAAAGTTATTCAGAGAATTAATAATGTCAAGAGTATTATGAATGTTATTAAGTCAGATCAATACAATAAAACAAAAAATAATAAAAAAAAGCAACAATAATAATCAAATAGTCAAAATAATAAAAAAAAAGTCACATTGTCATGTTCAACATAAATTAAATAACAATGAACCAAATTAATTTGATTTACGATTTGTCTTGCAGAAAATCAACTTTCTGTAACTGTTTTTGTGTTGTGTTTTTTTTTTAATAATTAGCTTGTTATGTTATATATTTTATGGGCCTAGGTGTGTAATACGTAGTGTCAATGTGTATGTAAAATTAAAAAAATGAACAGAAGAACAACACACAAAATACGAAAATATAATTTGTGCTATAAATCCCCAAAGAGATAGAGATGTATTATATCTTCAAATTTTGTTCGACATATTTTTGTTCCCATGTACATAACAATTAAAATTAGATTGGGCTTTTTTCTACTTTTTAACAGTAGTGCTCAGATCATGATTGCGATTTCCACTCATCACTAATAATTCGTGTGATGAGCATAATAACTTATTCAGTATCCGTTTAACAGAATTTGTGCAGTCCAGTTACCATTATACACTGCCTATTTTTAGACCAGACAGCCGTATGCGAGGTTATGGTATCATTATTAATTCTTACCGTCTGCACACCTCATATTGCTATTTTATTCGATCGAATTCAGGACCTAACGATTGCAAGCTAACCCATGTTTAAAATCATAACATGGTACGACCCAGATTAAAGGCTAAATCGAGAAATGTTTACATTCACAATTCGGTAATATTAGCAAAAAAAAATTTACATATTTCTGCTTTGCAATGGCTCAAGTAATCAATTTGTTTGCTACCTCTAGTAATATATTAAATAATTTTAATGTAAAGTGATTGTAAGCAATATTTTGTCCCTACACCCTTGAAGCTAGGTTATCAACCTTGCTTAAATAATGAATACCGTTGCACACCTCATTTTTTAGAAGAAAAAAATCACTATGGTGTATAAGTATTACCCAAATGAAATAAATAAATATAAATTTACAATGTCTTTATTACACGTACACACTTTGACAAAGAAACAATACAGGTTTTTGCAGTACCTAATACTGCTATTTGCTTACTGAACGAACTCAAGACCTAACGAAAAAAAAAACTACTATAAAAAGGCACGGTAGGTGGAAATCCAGCAAGGTGGTTGAAGGTTACATTGAAGATTCCATACAAAATAAAAGTAAAATTACCAACAAAATAACGAAAACTATTCAGCTTTCAAAAAATGATACATCTTTTAAAGAGATGATCCGCAACCATCAACTTCTGCAGAAGAAAGCTTCATCCCGTCAGATTTTGTCCATGACCAACAAATATCACAATCTCAAACTATTAACATACCCAAAAAACACCTGTCCCTTAAAATTTGATTTTTTTCTCATTTTACTATAAATTTCAACAAATTAAATGTTTTATTCTTGTAATACCGGGTTTTTCTACTTACCTCACAATCGAAATGTAAAGCAGAATAGTTAGCTCGGGTGTAAGCATCAATTGCACCCTCGAACTATAGGCGCCCTCGCTGCGCTCGTGCGCCTAAATATCTCGGCCTGCAAATAAACATCAAACATAAGCACAGACGAATTGCTGGCCTAGCGATTGGTTATATTAACTTTTTTAATAAAAAAGAATTTCTAGTAAGATACTGAGAATTTACACCTACAGTCACAATAAAAAGTTAACTTAAAGATAGGAATAAGAATCAATTTCTATACGGGCAATTCAAATCAATCACAACACTGTGTCATCCATTAATTGTTGTTCTGAGTCTGGGTGTCCTTTGTGTCCGTTTCATGTATGTTTGTAAAGTCCCCCGCGACACAGGATTTATTCCTAGTGCAGGAGGTGTCAATTAAAAGAAAAAATAACATAATTTATTTGTGAACATAAGTATACAAGATCTAATAAATATATTTGACAGGAACGCTATATTATGTCTTATTTAATGGCGCACAAATATTACTTACTCAATAAAAAGAAAAAAAAACCTAAAATAAATAAGTCATATACCGTCAGTTATAAAACAAAAACTATACTCTAAATATTTCAACATTAAATAAATAATTATTAAAATATTTAATAATTCTTATTTAGCACATAGGCTAAAAAGTAACCCATGTGCTATCTCTATTAAGTTATAATAAACATGTAGGCGTGCAATTAAAGTATCATTTTATTTCATTTCATATATCATATGACAACTATTTAAATTTATTTAGGACAGGTACCAATTAAAAATGTTTATATTGACAAATGTACTTTGATGGTATCCTTTACGTAAAAAAACATAATGACACTATGAAGCTCTTGATTCTATTTAAAACTGCAAAATGGTACCTTAATCAGGGCAAGGTCATATTGCACCACGATCCACAGGTGGTAGTTCCGCACTAGCCCTTAGACGCTCATAGGCTGCCTCGGCGAGTGAACGCAACCCTCCGCTAAAAACAATGTTCGCTATCTCCTGTTTGTTACAAGCGTGAGTAGGGTTTCATATATTTCAAGATGTGCACTGAAAAATATGTTTTCACAGTGAAACTAAATGTTTAAAATAAAATTTGTTAGTTTATTTTCATGCACATAGATTCATGCACACAATGCAACAGTTATTTTTAGACGCAACAATTTGTTTGAGAAAAGTTTTCAACGTTTCTTTTTTTCTTAATTTACGTGTATATTAAATTTGTTTTATTAGTGTTTATATTGAAAAACTTTGTTCTTTTTGATTATATTTGACGCTAATGCGACCGATCTATTAGTGTTGTCTCTACTAAACTTTTTATTAAAGTATTAAATATTCGCTCTTGCCGCCAGCGTGATTGTTGTTTATCGCGAAAAGACAAACAAACTCACTTTAACATTTATAAGTATGGATAAAAAAAAAAATGGGTGTTCTTGTACAGCAGCACGCACTTGACAGGACAACGTGTACAATGCACGTTGTCACTTCTAAATTAACGATTGTACATAAGTGTGAAGGCTCTTTGTAATAATTCCCGCGTTACATATAATTGTTAGGGCCCGGTTTCAAAGGATTTCTGGTTTGTCACGCTGTTGACAAGATCGCGTACAGGACACGTGAAAGAAGAAGAAGTGAAGAGTTTAATGTTTCATTGTGAGTTAGTCATTGCCAAACATGTCAACGACAAGGGTATAGTTTTTTTTAACAATAGTCGCTTAAATTGATTTTGATCTCGAAATTACTCGTAGTGCAAGTTTTTGAAAAGATGTATTAAAAGGTTACGTACATTATCAATACACGTCTACATCAAACACGATTTCAAACAATTTTTTTTTTATAAAATACAGATATTTTGAATTTGAATTTGAAATTTGAATAATAATAATATATCTTTATTTCAGACAAAATCCAAATAATAATAAATATATAACAATGTTAATAATAATAAATATTACTCTTATATTTATATATATATTTATAATTCTTCTGTGCCTATGTATGTGTCTGAACTCCTCTTAAACGGAGCCTCTGGTCTGCTTTTGACGAAATTTTGGTTTGTGTTCAAGTGGATTCGAGAATAGTTTAGATTCACGAAAATAAAAAATAGCGCTACAAAGTTCGCCGGGTCAGCTAGTATACATACATATATTATACATGTTTTTGCTTCACAAAGCAACGAAGCAATGGCTCAAGTCAATTTGTTTGCTACCTCAGTAATATATTACATATAATGTAAGTGTACTTGAAACTAGGTTATCAACACAGCTTAAATAATAAATACTGTTTCACACCTCTTTTTTAAGAAAAAAATCA